TAAAGGGGGAAAATGATTTCAAAGAGGTGATATAAATGAACTCCTCAGATACATATAGTAGTAAATCCAGCTGATACCACTCTAAGTAATTGAAATTCAGGTCTTGTATCTAGATCTTTACTTACTTTGTTAATATGTAAATGGCTTGGACAGAGGGTAAAAAGATGTCATGCCTCAAGATTTGATAAGTCAGCATGCAGGGATGTTAGAACTGTCTTACAGGCCAATACAAGTTTTTTTCAATATTATTTTTTTAGATAGATAGCTTGGAGAGGGAAATATGGAGAGAGAGAATGAGATAATGTTCATTACATGCAGAATTTTATTACTTGGCCAGAATGACTAATTTTTCATTGTAATTCTGGATATTAGAGAACCAGGAAATTATTCTGAAGTGCTATAGCAACTGTGTGTATTGTATAGCTGTGGTAGGTGAAGCTTCCTTGCATTCCACTCAGAAAAGTGGTGTATTTTTGGAACAAGCAAAATATTTGTTTTAAAGGATCTCATTTGAATCCTAAAAATACTGTATACCAAAAGGTTTTGATTGGATTTTTGAGTCCTGATACTGCATGTGTTGACTTGCTAAAATATTATGCCTTGCCCTCTGTTCTTTCTCTTTGGAATTTAGAGTAATCTATTATTTGTGTTGTTTTATTGGTCAATCATGTTCAGGTCAATTATTTGTCTGCCACCATGAAAAACAGTATTGACTGTGCTGCCTTGGTTGAACAAATATACACACGCCTTAACATGCAAAGAAGATGTACTTCATTTCCATTGCATTAAATGCTGTGCCTGATGGAAAAATCTAATCCTTACTGATTTACTCTACAAAGAAGGGAGTGCCAAGGATTTATTAATTTAAGAACTATATTGGCAGTGGACCTGACTTGAAAATTGCTAGGTCAAATTGTCAGAACTAAAGATCAATGCAAGATACGTAGCCTCAGTTTAGAACTGAAATTATTCTGTTCAATCTGATTACAGTAAATGGGAGAAAAGATGTAACATGTACACTGTATAGATGCTTAATATTGTCTGACTTGTGCAGAAAATATGTAATTACTTAACACCATTGTCAGTATGCTGTATTTACAGCCAAAAACCAGTTGTCCATTATATGTTGCAAATAATTAAAAAAGTATGAGAAAGGATGTACAAATGCAGTTACTCAAGCTGTGCACTACATTAAGTAATTCATTCCATAAAACACTACAGTATAAACAAAAGCACCCATAATAGGCCATATAATCTGGCTAAAGGGAAAGTTCTCTGATGTAAAATGCACATAATGTTAATAAAGTAAAGCAAGCCACCATTGTAATAATAGGAGATTACAGTTCAACTTTTATAGAGGTCAGAGTTGAAGAAGCATTGCTTCAGCTCCAGACTGGCTTTCTCAAATCCAAGTGGAGTAGAGAGCCACAGTGTCTAACATTTAATTCTATAACTTTCTTCCTGGATGACAAACAATTGTCTTTAAGGATCAGAGGGGTTAGTGATGACTTTCACTAAAAACAAGTTTTAGCCAAAATCTTACATGGCATATGAGCCTGTAAGGAGGCTGGTTTAGATTACAGGAACACAAAGGAACTGGGGACCTATGGGGAATATACTACTCCAGCTGGACTCTTCCTTCTTCACCACAAGCCTGTTACCATCAACAGGGAGACAGGCAGCTGACAACTACCATAGAGGCCTGCTTAGGACATCTTCAGGACAGCATTCTCCAGCTGGAGCTGGTCTGATCTACATGATCTTTCTGAGAGAAGCAGCTCATGGTTCTTCACTTTGAGAGGTAAGAGGGTCCAAAGCCAGGAGGAGCTGCTTCTCAGCTGCAGTGCCATTGCTGGAAGTGGAAGCACTTCCTGGTTGAAATTAGATCGGCTGTCTCCCTAAGATTTTAATAGCATATGTGGAAAAAAAATTAATTGCAGGAAATCCATTCAGTCCATGGCCAGAGGAACCCCACCTGTGCTTCTCATTTAGACCTCATTTAGCTTGCTCATCTACAGGTTTTAAAAAATTAAACATGATATTTTAATCCTATTTTTCAATGTCAAATAATGGGAGAATGGGGGGTATTCCTTAATTAAATCTCTAAATCCAGATCTCTAGCTGTCCCTGTATTTTAATACCATGCTTCTGAAGGGCACCATGTTGAGGAAATGTGATTTAAAAAAAAATAGATTATTTATAGCAAACTTGACAGGAGCACATGGGTAAGATTCAGCTCTTTTTAATCACAATCAAACAAAAGAGAATGATCAAAGAACCAATCAACACGCACTAATGCTAACCTTTCTCTATCTGCTGGAGTACAGAATAAGAAAGGGAAATTTAAAAGAGCCCAAAATAGAATTCATGTGAAATATTTGGATTTAAGCAATCACTCTATAAACTCTGTACAATTATGACTCCGAAAAACCAATTTGCATTTGAAGCCTGTTGAAATCTGATGTTGGCTCCCTTTTTTTTTTTTATCTAAAAGCTTTTATAACAACAACTACTACTGTGCATGTCTTCTGAGAGGTAAGCTTTGGTAAATTCAGTGGGTCAGAAAGTTGAAATAAGATCTTGGCATAAATCATTTCACTGGATTCAAGATTTCTCTTGATACTAATAAACACTTTAGTCAGTATGAAACAGTTTCTAATTAAATCATTAAAGTGACAAAGATAATAAAGATAACATCAAATGTGAATATGTTCAATGTAATAACCTGTGAGAGACTTATTACTTAATTAACACCTTAAAATTATGTGTCAATCTTTTCCCCAGAATTATCCACTCCCAAAAGCTTCACTAACTTGTAGCATTCACTCCACCTCAATATGTTTTAGAGAAAATCTACCAAAAGCCCTCCATGGCATGGGCCCAGGTTATCCGAGGAACCGACTTGTTTCCATGACATTGACCCATCCCACCTGGTCTGGCAGGAAGGTATATTACGAACCCTGTCGCCTAGAGAGTTTCGATTGGCGGGGTCCAAGCGGAGAGCCTTTTCTGCCATGGTTCCCACCCTCTGGAATATCTTGCCCCCTGAGGTGAGATTGGCACCCAAAAAGGCCTTCTGCTGGCCTTCCAAAAGGTCGTTAAACCTGGCTCTGCCAACTTGCATGAGGACCCAATGGGGGTTCGCAGCACTGCGGGTAGCTGGTAGCTTGAGGATGTTCTCACCATCTTTTTAGTTTCCATTTTAGTTTTAACTTTTTAGCTTAATTTTAACCTTTGAGTTTTTAACATGCATTTTTTCTAGGATTTTATAGTTTTTTATCTGTAACGCCACCTAGAGTCACTTGTATAGTGAGATGGGTGGCATATATAAATTTGAAAAATAAATAAATACATACACAATATTCCTAATTGATGGAAATATAGGCAACTGGGTTAATTTCTTCCATAATTTTAATGTTTGAATGTTCTATCATCTGTCTATTTTATAGTTTTTTATCTGTAACGCCACCTAGAGTCACTTGTATAGTGAGATGGGTGGCATATATAAATTTGAAAAATAAATAAATACATACACAATATTCCTAATTGATGGAAATATAGGCAACTGGGTTAATTTCTTCCATAATTTTAATGTTTGAATGTTCTATCATCTGTCTGTCTATCTATCTATCTGAAATATGAAAAAAGGACATTTTTATTACTAGTAATTACTGGTACCACTGGTCCTTCCAGAGTGGGGACTGTCAGCACTACGAGTCACTGAGGGCACTGAACATTTATTCTATTGCCCTCCTTAATAATTTTCTTTTGTAGGAAGAAAAAAGTGATAGAGGAGGAACACAGAAATTTGAACCCCTCCTGAAATTCTGAGGCAAGACTATATGATACAAGAAGGAAAGGTATTTCTTTATAATGAATTTCTTCAAAATAAATACATAGCAAAACTCTTAAAACACTTTCTCTTTGATTGAATGGCATTTATATGCTGTGAGATTAGATAATTGTATTTTTTAAAATGAGGTTAATTTTCTGATTATTGCTAAGTTTTGTGTGTGTGTGTGTGTGTGTGAGAATGAGCAGGAGTGGGTAGAAGAAATATTAGTTGTAAAAGTATCTGTAGGCTATGCTTTAAATATCCTGCATTGTTGGTTTTGGAGATTTCCACAATACCAGGAAGACTAGTTTTCAGTCATTTCACAATGTTTATCTGTATCGATGCCATCTTGTGGATAGTTTAGCACATGGCCGCGATCTGACGCAAGTTTCAAATGACCAGACTGCTTCAGAGTGTGAATCAAAAGGCTTGAGGCTCTGATACTTACAGAGCTGTTCTGTAAATCAAAACTGCTTCAAAATACACTGCCTACGTAATCCAAGTGCTGGCAGATATCTGTGAGATTTGCAACAGATCCACCCAGATTTCTGATTATAGAACCCAGATTATAGCCATTGCAAGTACTGGAAAAAGGAAACTGTTGCTATGACTGGCCACGTGCCAGTTGTTTATCCTTTGGGCTTTCTTTTCTTTAAATTTAAAATATGAACACAAATTGGTTGGCTTTCACTAGGACTTTGTGCAGCAATACTGATCATTTTTGGAGTGCTAGAATCTTTCATCTGTAAATCAGATGCAGAATTGTATGTGCAAATGCAATAATCTTAGTGTATGGTAGGGTGGCTATTCAGATACTGTATACTCAATTTGCATTTGAATTTTGCATAGGTGGTAGACCTCAGAGGGTTTTTCTTTTTTTAAACATTAGAGTTAAATTCTAGATGATAATAAAATCTTCCTGTACATATTTTCAACACAGAGATTTCCCTTAGGAGAATAGTTTTCTGGCAATCTGAAATTTATGAATATATCAAAGGGATTTTTTGCTAGTTGTTGTTTTTCCTTTTCAAAGATCTTTTCTCAGGATAAATGTATTGAGACTTACCTTAAGTCTGAGTCCTAAATAACATTTGATATGGTTGTTTGGCTAATCAATAAATAATACACTAAAACTGAAACTTTGTACTATTTATCAGTAGCTGGGAACTTTATTGAAGAGTATTGCAGTTCAAAGTACTTACCAAGGTTCATAGAACAAATTACAGGACCTGGTTTAGGCATTATTCCTTGTTGGCATGCAGAACTCTGTTGGAAGGATGGAAGGTGGGACACTGGCTCACCCCTCATCGTCTCCACATTCACTTGGGCCCAACACAAGTGAGTACACAACGAAAAGTGTGAAAACCTTGCATATGCACCTTTCCTTGAATTGGAACTGGAAACTTTAACCTTTTTTTGCAGAGGCACACACAAACTGTTATACTATTAATCACTCCCTGTCTATCCCGAAGCTCTTTGCAATGATGTCATCTATTTATGGACAGGCAACAGAAAAGGCAGAGGTTCTACCTTCCAAGAGTTACTGGATGCTATACTAACAGGGAAGCAGTGTAAACGTTCAGGCAAACTCTCGACCTTAACAGCAGAGCAGCACACTGCAGCCTAAAGGTGATCATATTCAATAAACTGACCCTGAGTAAAATGTATTGTCAAAGGAGACCGGAAGTTACTATTGCACGTTCTGTGAAAACACGATCGTTCCTATCCAGCCTAATAGTAATTGTCAGCGCGTTGGGATTCAGGCTCCGTTGCAAACGCCAGTTTCACATCCTCGTCCGTTGCGCAATTCGAGGACTCCCAGGGCGCGCGCGACCCAAGCCAGCTTTGCAAAGCTGCATTTTTCGGTCTGAGAGGATCCGCCGGGCAAACTCCTTCCCCGCCCCTCCAGGCACGTTGCAGCCATTTCCCTCGGCCCCTTTCTAGGAAGCAATCTGGAGGGCTGCTGGCGCGGCTCAGCCGCGGCGGGACTCTCGGAGCGGGGCGGCGTTGCCCTTTTAAGACGAACCGTGTCAAGCTCGTGACGTCAGGGGAGTGCAGAGATCTAGTCGCGGTGCCGCTTGCCCCTCTTTCTGTTATTTCAGGCAGATGCGGGGAAGTCGGAGGGGAGGCGGGTGGCTCTCCTGCCGGACGGATTGGCTCGGGGCTGTTTTGCCCGCTCTGCTCTGCAGCCCAGGACGCTGGAAGCCACCTCTGGAGCGCCCCCCCTTTCCCGCGGCGGAGAGTTTTCGCTGATTTTTTCCCCCTCTCGCTTTTCCTCCTTGCCATGCACCAGGATCTAACAACCGCCAGCGGCGGCGGCGGCGGCGGCAGCAGCAGCAGCAGGAGGAACTTCCCAAACAGGAACCTAATGGCTGCGAAGGTGAACATCTGAGCGCAAAGTCTTTCCCCATCCTGCCCGGGGAAGAAAGAAGGCTGTGCAGAGCGTGCGAGGGAGAGCCGGCAACCATGCGCCCGGGGGCTCAGCACTGATGCCTGCGTCGCTGCCCCCGGCGGGAGAATTCAGAGGCTCTCCCTCCTCTGGGGCGCCGCAAGCCGGGAACGTGTGACCCGGAGGCGCAAGGAGAAGAAGAGAAAGCGGGAGGAAGACTCGGCTCCGGCCGCCTGGGACTCCCGAGGCCGCCTTTGAACTTCCCTTGAACTCCCGGTTGCGCCTCTCCTTGCCTGGTCCCTTTCCGCCGGGAGATTTATTGTCCTTGCTGCAGTTTTTCGAGACGTTGTAATTGTCTCTTTAAAATATACCTACACACAAACACACACCCCCAGAACTATTTTTGGCCAATATCATGGCGATGAAAGGGGCTGTCGCAAACACCGGGATCTTGTTAGTTACAGCCAACGTTGGATCCCTGTTCGATGATGTAAGTACTGGGGCTGGAGAGGGCGATCTCTCTTTCTCTCTCTCCCCGCAGTAACCCAGGTAAGGGGGGCTGCAGCGTCGCTCGGCGAGC